GCTGGCGCAGGCCGCGGCGCAGCAGGCGGCGCGCTGCCGCTTCCACGCCGCGCCGCGCCCGCCGCCGCTGCCCGGCGCGCCCGCGCCCATCCCCTTCTCGCTGCTGGCCGACCACCACTGCTCGTCCGACCACTTCCCCATCCACCCGCTGCAGGTGCTCAACGAGCACTGCGACGAGGTGTGGTACTGCAAGTGGTCGCCCGACGGCTCCAAGCTGGCTTCCGGCTCCAAGGACAACACCGTCATGATTTGGGACTTCGACCCGCAGGCCAAGCGGCTCTCCTTCAGGTGCGCCGCCGGCCGGTCGTCGCCAGGGGGTCTCCTCTCGATCTCCGTCCGACATCCGGCCGAAACAGTTACTGCCACATAAGCTGTACTTGACCGAATGAAAACACGCGTGATGCGAATGAAGCTTCATACTTGATACTTGTCTTTTAATTTTGTCGAATAGTACTTGTTTGACAGTAATTGTTTCGGATGGACGTCTGACGGAGATCAAGAGTAGACCTCTACGTCCGTCGCGCAGCCGCTGGGGTCACCGCCGTCGTCTCTGTTGCAGGAAATCACTGGAGGGCCACTCGTACGGGGTGTCGTACCTGGCGTGGAGCCCCGACGGGCGCTACCTCATCGCCGCCGGCCCTGAGGACTGCCCCGACCTCTGGATCTGGAACATGGAGGTGACCGGCCGGCCGACCGCCCGCGCGGCCCGTGCCGGCCGGGCGTCCCCGAACTCGCGCTCGTTTTGCAGACGGAGCAGCTGCACCTGAAGATGACGCACTCGCAGGAGGACTCGCTGACGGCCGTGTCGTGGTTCGCGTCGTCCGACAAGTTCGTGTGCGGCGGCGCCCGCGGGCAGTTCTACCAGTGCAACCTGGAGGGCGAGCTGCTGCACAGCTGGGACGGCGTGCGCGTGAACGCGCTGGCCTGCCGCGGCGAGGGGCTGGTGGCGCTGGCGGCCGACACGCACCACCGCGTGCGCCAGTACGACTTCGCCGAGCCCAAGGCCGACCGCAACCTGCTGCAGGAGGAGCACGCCGTGATGGCCATGTGCCTGGACGCCGCCGACTCGCTGCTGCTGCTGAACGTGGCCAACCAGGGCGTGCACCTGTGGGACGTGCGGGCGCGCGCGCTGGTGCGGCGCTTCCGCGGCCTGTCGCAGGGCCACTTCACCATCCACGCCTGCTTCGGCGGCGCGCACCACGACTTCGTGGCCTCGGGCAGCGAGGACAACAAGCTGTACATCTGGCACATGGAGGGCGAGGAGCCCGTGGCCGTGGTGGCGGGCCACACGCGCTGCGTCAACGCCGTGGCCTGGAACCCCGTGCACCACGACGTGCTGGCCACGGCCTCGGACGACAACTCCGTGCGCCTGTGGGGGCCCAAGAGCCACGCGCCCTAGCGGCTCCCCGCCCCCGGGTCGTCGACAGGGTCGCCTCGTTTCTGACTTTCCGTTTCGTTTTTGCGAGTAGCGTTTCCGATTAGAGTCCGCCGTCCGTCCGTCCGGTTCGTTCGTCCGCCGTATGCGCAGACGGTTGCTTCGAACGAACCTCCATGAATTTGAATTAATTAGAACGTTCACTTTCGGTTATTTCGTAACTCTTTACGATTCGTGTCACAAATGTTCACATTATTAAACGCCACTCGTATTCGACGATGCGTCAACGCGACGCCGACGTCGGAGTCGTCCGGTCGCCGACCGACGACGGCGACGCCGACGAACGCTTCCGTGGAATATAGTACAGCTGCACTAGCAGAGTCGTACGTTACAAAGGTGTGCCGGAACTTGAAAACAAACGAGAAATTGAAAACATTTAGTGTAGTAGGAAAAGACTTCTTTGAAAGCTGTGATTTTTTTTTATATAATGCACGTAATCATTGTCGTACTTTACTAATCATATCGTATTTTTTTTGCAACCTTTGAATTTTATTTTAACTTCGTATTCTGGTCGACCGACCTTTCAGTTGATGACCCGCTGCGGTCATCGCACTCTGTGGTACGTGACGTGCGAGAACATACGCCCAGCTAAGTTTCGGTTTTCTGTCTTACTTTTTAAAGTAATTTTTAAATTAACAAGGTAATTTCTGTCTCACTTTTGTATCTACGACTGACTAATACTGGTTTGCACCTACATTGCTTTTCAAAGACTGACGGCCGGTACGCGTCTGGTACCTTATATACTTACTGAAAAGGTAAGTGCAATAAGTATTTGTAAGTTGAGAAATCAGTGCCGTACTACGGTAACAAAATGGAACGGCGAGCACGAGTGCCGCGACACGCGACACGCGACCGGCAAGGCGTTATTTTTACTAGTGAGAAATTTAATATAATTATGACTTCGACTGAAACGACACGTCGCGTCGCGCTCAGCGCCTTGTTTCATAAACAACTAGACTAGACAATTGTGGTCCAGTTCAGGAGCCTTACCACGAATTCTTATTACAGTTCAGTACAGGCTCGTAACGAGAAAAAAGCGTGATGGTGATATACACTTCATGTAGCGCTGTCTCACAACGATTCATTTTAGGTCCTAAACTGAATCCTAATAAGAGTACATGGTAAGGCCCCAGTTCTCACGCGATTCGTCACGACTTCGTTTCGATGCGGGTTGGCTTTTTCTGTAGCCGATTGTGTGCTATACGAAGAGTGCCATTGTCGAGTGCAAAATAATCGGAACTAGCAAAATTTTGGGAGCATGGCGTTTGGCGGCGGCGCTCGATGTGACCTATTCTTTAGTATTACACTAGCTGTACAGGGTTCTGCATTCTTCCTATCGCGAGTGACTGGCTCGGCCCGACGGGGCTTCGAATTGATTGCGGTCTCATTTGACGCGAAATTATGTCTCAACCTTTCAACGTTCGCTTTGATCGATCTCCTTTGCGAGTATTTTCGGTAGTTTACAAGGCACTTTTTGGAAAACGATTTAAATACCCATTGTAGATGTACCAGAATCGCTTAGCTCTTAAGGCATGGCTAGTGGAAAAGTGGTACATTCATATTAGCAACACGGGCGTTATTGGAATAAGTAAACTTTTAACATCAACTATTATATTTTTCGGCATGTCAATTTGGGTCTCGGTTTTGAATAAAAAAAGTATCAGTAGAAATTACGTCGCTGTGCAGTCAGATGAACCGGTTCGTGAAAGATTTGCTAGTAAATGTTATTTAAAATTTTGATTCTGGTAAACCTGTGCTGTTCTACCATGTTGGATGAAATAAAATATTAAATCGCAGTTACCGGTCAAAGCGGAGATGCCAAATTGAGATTTCTGCTATAAAATTGTACAAGACCTGCAACACTTAAATTGCCCACAGTTGAGATCGCAGAAAGGCGTTGATGTACTCATGCAAATGTGCGAGAGATACTGTGCGTAGTGTAGATACATATGAAATACGTGTGTCTGGGGAGTTACAAATGTGGAGGTAGGAAGTTAACTTGGGTGCAGAGTCTTGCACATGTGAATGATTGTAGCGGGAAAAGAAAGTCAAGTTGTGGGATTTCTATTGAACGACTCTGCAACCGGTTTTCAAGACCACTTCCCACAGGTAACGGTGTGTCATGAAAGTTGAAAGGGAGATTAAAATTGGACTGTAAAGTTCCAAGTTCATTTTCTACATTGTAAAAATCAGATCGTGTGAGTAAGGTTAGATAAGGGATATCGATATCGGAATTGATTCGGGGGTTTTTGGGTACTGAAGAAGTAGTTATAACTCTATCGACCAAATATGCTGCCTCATTTAGATCTCGCGTTTCGGGTGCCGAATTTTTGTCGTCGGATGCAACTTTCTGTGCCAATAAATCATGTTGGAATGGCAAAGATGGCTGACTTGTGTTCTAAGTGTAACCTGCATAGTTGTTGTCGCATTGTCTTTAACGATTGAAATATATTTAATCCACACGCATTTCAAAAAAAAATGACCCGTATAAAAATGAGTTTTTAAACTCTGTTTCCGTAGAATGTAAGCAGTCGTTACACTCGAACGGCAAGTCTGGCCTTCAATAGCTGCCGGTATCGGGGTATAGTATGAAACGCGAGTGATCGAACGCAATAACAATTAGCATGTATCGCTTTGTCGACTCTTATTGTTAAAACGTAACGTACTCTAAAGATTATTTATCAGTAAGTTAAGGACGGGCGAGAGGATCACACGCGCATCGCGCTTGACCCGCGGGCGTGCCTCTCGTGCTCAACACGTACGTAGAGTTCGATGACGTCACCATTCGACGGGCAAAGACACCAGCACCGGCAGTAGCGCGCTATTCGGATCTACGTAGCATTATTCTTATTAAGGCTCTTTCATTAACTTAATTAAGGCTTACTTATAGCGACAGATATATTTTGTAGCGGAGACCGCTCTCGGCTCTATTTTTGTACCGACCACTGAGTCTCACAGAGTCTCCAGCCGCCGAGGGCACCGTCGAGGGGCACCGCCTCGGCAGTGACGATGATGACAGAACATAGCACTAACTGTACTCAATACATTATAATGACAAATTTTGTATTAGTCGCGGGCTCCGGGGCCACCACAGGTGCGCTATATGCGGTTTTGTAAGCATTTTCTTTTCGAGGTTTTATTGTATTTTTAGATGTAGTAGGACTTGTGTAGATTTTCTACCTCGCACAAATTCACTGGACGCTTCTGTGTCTGCTCCTGCCGATATCGGCCGCTGCCGAATTACAATTTTGTTATAAAAATCAGTTTTAAGCCTTATAATGTTACACGGAAATTAAACCAATTTTGAGAATATTAGTTTGTATTTAGTTAACAAGGGTATTGTCGACGCGAATTTAGCTTCCCGAAGTGAAATTAACAAATCGGTTACTGTATGCCGACAGGTCCCGGAGTCCGTCTGTACCAAATATCAGGCAATAAACAGAGTGAGTGTGCGTGTGAAGTACAAAGCGCGCCGCCAGCGCAGCGCAAGCGCGACACGCCCGCCTCTCTGCCGAGAGTTCAATGTGGCGTAACAGTTTGCAGTGCTAATTGTGAAAACACAATCTTCAATTAAAATAATATATATAATTTTTTATTACTTATTTGTGTAATTGATTAGGTCCGTTTACGTTTTCAAAGGACTCTTGGCAAATAGAGGCGAGCAGAATAACTGTAGCCGAGGCAACGGCGCAACGCCCGCGCCTTGCGCCGGCGGCGATCAGAGTAGTGTAGTGCGGAGGGCGAGTGTGCGGGCAACGCCCGGTTTGAATTGTTATTATAAATAATTATATCAATAAATTTTTTTATTGTAAAAGTAATCAGCATTTTCATTTCGTTTGCACAGTAAATGTAATCAGCAATCACTAGCACAAAAATATTTTACAAAGAAACATTACATAAAAATAACTAAATTGCATTTATTACAATAATTATAAAAGAACTTTTAACATTATATAATATACTTTATAACTAAATTATCTCATTGACTATAAATTAGCAGTGCCTGACTTTTCCACAATCTCGAGCAAAGTGTGCAGTGAGGTGTCAAACAGTTCACACCGGATGGGCATCTCCAACGAGTAGAAGGGGTTCTTGAGAGCGTAATCTGAATAAAGCTCGTATATCCTTCTGAGGACTACTTCTGAACCTTGCATATTGGGATCTGTCACTATTATGAATTTCACTCCTGGAAAAGATTTAACAGAATTATGAACAAGTACTGATGATGTACTTCACATATTTAACCAACAAATTGTAAATACCTGTTAGTGTTTGGAAGCAGGAGAGCTTAAAAGTGTCTGCTGTCAGTGACTCGATGCCTGAGCACTTGGGCACGGGGCTCAGTTGACTGGCTAGCGCAAACAGTGGGTAGAACATGCTCGCCAGTACGATCTTCTCGTTGGTCGTCGCCCGCGCGCGGCCGAATTTAAGACTCAGTGGATAGTTCTCCTATAAGGGAAATTGGTAATTTAAGGGAAATTGGTAATTTTCACTGTGAACTTAAATATTTAAAATATATGTGTGTAAAATGATACCTTTGCTTCAATGATATTAAACACATCTCTGCCGTCTTCCGTAGTGCGACCAGATACTGTAGAGCCGTTTACAGAAAGGAGTACATGGCCCACTGTAAATAATTGGATATATATATAAGTTATATTTAGTTCCTACATTAAAAAGTGCGTTAATAATAAGTGTTTTTTACCATTTATCCCATCTCGTTGCCCAAACACAACGACAACTTTCTTGTTTTCATACTGCAGCTTGATGTCGAGAGGAAATCCGAATGTTTTCTCAGCCTCCACCCGGGGTATGTTGTGGTCATAGTTAAATATTAGTCCTCCAGATTTACTGACGATGTAAACACCGTATATAACCATTATTTACACTCTATTTTCGACTAAATCCTAAAGTTTTCCTAATAAAGCATTAAATAAACACCTCCGATGCGAAATTCGTTCGAAACTATGCACAGTTTATTTATATAATGTCAATCAAGTTTAAAGAAACAAGCTCAAGAGAAAAGTATAATGATGACCCGATAATGGAGATAGTGTCTTAGCTTAATTTATGGAAACTATAAAAAAACATATTTTTGAATATGTTTTTTATCACACATACAATAAAAGTAAAGACGAACAACGGAGAAATCGTAACCTGTTTTAGAACACACTATTCTGACAGTTACCTTTGGTGTTACCAATTTCAATTTTATGAAATTGCTTTTAATGGAATCAACTATGGTCGACGTAATTATTTAATTTTCCGAAAATCTTTCAAATAGTTATTTTTCCGGAAAAAATACCGAAAAATTGGGAATATTTCCAAAATTTGAAAAATGGGATAAATATAATTTCGAAGGCTCGTATTATGTGGTCGGAGCACATGATGAAAAGACATTTTGACAAATTGAAAGAATATATTATTACGACAATTGTCTACTACCATACTACGAAAAGGCATTTTACTATCAGAGTGTTTGAGTCAGACATCACTTGTGCTCATCAGTTTATGCTGCTGTGACGATAAGTCAAAGTCAAATATTTTTATTCAAATAGGCCAATTACAAGCTTTTTCCACAATTACAAGCACTTACCATCGTCAGGTGAGTAGTGGTGTTCATGTAAAAAAAATATAGATATTTTTTCCGATGTGATATATCGAAATGTTGTATCGATATTTTGTGTTTTATGCTAATAATTGTAAAAGATAAAAGAAAGGAAATTTTACTAAGAGTAAATAAGTAAAACCACCAGGTTTGACACAATAATCAAGTATTTCTTCAATTACTTTTATAATACATACGATTTAGATTACTAAATCGCATATATATTTTTTTAAACGAGCTGACGTTGCGCCTTCCATGTAACTCACGTAAACATTCTTAAAATTCATTAGATCTAACGACAAGTCGCTAAAACGGCGACACTGCCCCAATCGTTGGAGCGGGAATCAATATCTGCCGAACGACTGCTTTGCTCACAGATGGCGCCTCTTGTCAGGCAAAATATATTCAATTTGCCTACACACACGAAATCCTTTAAGCAAAATTAACGAAATACAAAGAAAGTAAAAAATCTTTTCGAAAGACAGCAAAGGCTGCTATTTTATTTCCGACAGCTGATCAACGGCTAACCGCACACTTAGAATATTATTGACAATCCAAGTTTATGTATGTTCTCAACGCAACAATATCGCCCGCACAAAAGCAATATTATTGTCAATATTATTGTATGTGCGGCTAGCCAATGAGAATATTACCAATACGTTACACTGACTTGCATTTCAAACGCTGATTCGCTGGTCATCCACCAGCGAATCAGTGCTCGAAGTGCGTTTCGATTTTGCGAGTACCGTCAGGAGCACATCAAGTGTCAACTTTGTACTTTGTACCGTTCTTATCATAAGCGGCATAGAGTTGGATTTAAGTCTTAAGTGTAAAGATTGACGTGCTCTTGACCCTTTACAATTTTGAATTGCATACTTTCAACTTCGTACGATTTTTTATGTATCGGATAAAATATATCATAGTACAGTCAAGAGCACGTCAAGCTTGACACTTTGTACTATGGACTGTTCTTATCGTAAGCGGCATAGTCAAGCTTGACGTGCTCTTATTTGTACATATCGATACCGAATGATACGATAATATCGGATTGATTCGATATATCGAGGGCATATATCGATATAGCACTCCTACAGGTGCGGGCTCTGCTCGTCCCTTTAAATCATTACGAGAAATAGAAAGATGAAGACGATTGTTTTACACATCCACGTCTGTCCAAGAACCTTTGACAGAGAACAAAAAAGTAACGAGAATGGACACTCTCCGCCCCTCCCTAGATTTAGATACCACACCACGCCCCGCGCATTGACGGTCACATTTGACTGAACGACAATAAGGCTGTCGGCGAGCCGTTTTCGCGCTAAGACGGCTTTGCTATTTGAATATTTTTCATTTGTTAATTACGAAACTTGCTCGTTAATATCATTGTACATTACTATTTATAATGTGAATTGTGCTGCGTACGGCTGTTTATTATCATCGAAACGGGATAAAGAGAGGAGTTTCTTTCGTTTTGCGAAAGATGAAACGATGATGATAAAAACTTATGTCTGAGGGTTGTATTCCAGAACTCTACTCAATGCTCAATGCTCAATTTAAGTATGATTTCTAGTGCTTCAAACAAACAAAAAAAAATTCAAAATCGTCCACAATTGACGGAGAAATCGGTGAATACTTACATTGTAGATGCCTATAAATTTTGAGGATTTCCCGTGATTGCCATGGGATCCCCTTATCAGAATCGGGAACACTTCGAGAGTTTCAAACAAAAAATTATTTTCAAAATAGGTCCACAATTAACGGAGAAATCGTTGAACATACATAAAACATACATAAAGCCAAACATATAACCTCCTCCTTCACTTTGAAGTCTGTTAAAAATAAAGAACACTGCACTAAGAGAGTTTTGTCATTACTAAAGATGATATGACTGGGATGGAGATGTACAAGACATTCCTACTTGTTCCTGCAAATCTTACGCGTGCAATAGTGGTTCCATACGCGAAAAATAAAACGGAGGATATGTCTGATTTTTGCAGCTACATTACAACTAAAATAGTAATAAGAAACATTTATTGCGTTATCGCCGAGACACACTCAATGAGCTTAAAACTACAATACAATAATGGGCTGGTTAAAAGGGCAGAGTACATCGCCTAAACTGGTGCATATTAATGGGCCTGATTGGAGAACTCAGCAGCGCGAAAAGGTTGGTAGTAAATAAGGTTATTGCGGACTCCTGTAATCGTAACGATTAGTAGCAGTAGTGCGCTCCTTGTGATAGAGTTCGTCCAGGGAAGTACTGCCAAGCAGTAATGTGAGCATTACTGCGTTCCGGTTTTGTAGGGTAAGGGTGCTGGTGAAATTACAGGCACAAGGGACTTGTCAACTTATGCCTCATGGTGACGGGTGCAGAGTTGCGGTGCCCCGAAGAGCATTGTGATTTAATGCTCTGATTGGCACTGCAACTGTTACGAACAGGCGTGTAGCTTACCACTTGGCGCACGACATGTTCGTCCCGTCACTTGATATTATAATAAATAATAATACGTTGAAATCATAGCGTTGTGACGATGCAATGACCACGTGGCATCGCACTTATCCGGTGGTGCTAACCAGGAGAGGGAAAGGAGGCTAAGATGACTCGCTGCACCAAAAAGGTTAAAATCTTGCTCTTTAAAGCATATTACCAAAACTTTTACAGGAGCAGCCTGTGAGTGAGGTTTGCGGAGAACCTTGAATACCTCGAGGGTACAATGTAACTACGCTTTGAAGACGCTAATGGGACTGCCGCGACAAGCGCCTAAAGCTTTTGGTGCGACTACATTTGCGTCGAGTAGGAGTCCAGCTGTGGTATTTTCTCTATTTATTATTAGGGCTACACGTAGGTGTCGTGTTGTCACTAAAACTACTATGGATCATATATATGATCTGAAACAAACTATTATATTCCATACTACCCATATCTCAACCATAAGATATCTTTAAAAAAGGCCAGGTTATTATGTACTCAGAACACATGGGTGTTAATAAAAAGACGAAGTCGAGTAGAGGAAGAAGGAAGGAAGAAAGAAGTACGTCTGGAGCGTAGCAATTGGAGAAACATAGTCTTTATCTGCGGGACCCAGGCGCAATCTGTTGGTGTGTGCGTGTGTGTGTATGTGAAGAAACTGAATTAAAGCCATTTGACTACTACTTACTAAAAATAACACAATCGAAACTTTTTATTGTCATAGCAGTTGATAAAGTTAACTACATATTGGGGAACTTCACTACCAGTTGGTTTCTTAAAGTTTATATTAGACAGGTGGACGTATGGTTACGTACTTACTTTTTTTTAAATATAAGTGCGCATTTAACCTCCATCTCACCTGATGGAAAGTGACGATGAGATCGACGATGGAGCACGCACACCTAAATAATGCCTATTCAGTCTCGCCTTGCAAAGACCCAAGTTATAACGTTCAGGGAACAAGTCTGCTGGCAGGGAATTCCACTCCATAGCCGTTCGCCATATAAATGTGGAAGCGTAACGCTTCGTGCGAATCTTTGGAATATCCATAACATAGGCGTGGAACCCAAACCTACGCCTAGTCCCCCGGTGATGGAAAGGGAAGGCGGAATTAAATCGTGTAATTCCATCGCACACTCTCAGTGATATATCCTGTAAAATACCGATACGCCGGTCACTTTACGGCGGTGTTCAAGTCTCTGCAGCTTCGCCTGCACTAATTCCGAGTCACCTATAAGCCTCTTGACACGGTTGTCAATTGAATCCAAAGTGGCCACAACCCACCAACGTTCCCATGGCCCTATCAACCTTCTTGGTTATACGGGCCGAAACAGAGTACAAATATTTCTACGTCCTATGTCCCTAATGCAACTATCCCCCTTCTGGGGCTTGCACGACACAATTACACCGTCGGTGTCCGCCGAGAGGTCGCAACGGTCTCTATACGTCCTTTCTAGCCTGCTCCGACGAGCATGCCATTTCCGCACGACGTCCCGTAACCGCCTGAAGTTCGCCTCCGAGCCTACGATATCGCGATAGTGTCCAAAGTGGCTAGTTGATATGTAGCAGACCCATCCCAAAGGTGGCAGCAGTAGTCCATGCAAGAACGGACTTGTGCTTGGTACAGTTGAAGCAACTGTCCCGGTGTAAAGTAACACCTCACACTGGAAAGGATCCCAAGCTTCCTTGGCGCATTTTGGTCATGGATTCAATGTATCTGCCGACGTTCAAATTGGACGACAGGTCCATTCCAAGTGGCTGGAGACTGTGATATGGATATATCACGAAAAATCGAAGTGAGCTCAAAGGGACTCCGTTTTGTGGAGAATAGACACGCCTGCGTTTTGGTAACGTTAAATTTGACAAGATTGGCATTGCTCGAATCGGAG